AACTACATATATTCAGGTGAATTTTGCGATCACAACTATTGCGTAAGCCTTCGAAATTGTTTCTTAGTAGCAAATATTTGCAGAGCTTAGATGGACGCTCCTCTGTACAATCTGGGGTGGCCTTGGCAAGTTTTTACGATACGTAGTCATATATTGTCATGGGCATAGCCGTTTATACAATATGAATACCGTATTAATCCAGGACGATTAGCTCAGTCTATAGAATATAGATATCTGTTGAGCTCTTATTATTTATTTACTGAAATTTGTATCAGCTGTGTTTTCTCTTCGCCATTGTAACACACCAAATAAGAAAATGACAAAGGCTTGAATGCATCTCGAAACTGATTTACTATTAATTTAAGCACAAACCTCAGAATCGGAATTTGGCTCAGAAGAAGTCAATACAGTCTCCGGACATTGTGGTAATTCTTCTCCATAGACTATGTTATATTAATAAAATCCTTGATAAATCTTATCTAGGTGGAAAGGAACGGCGTCTCTCAGTTCAATTTTGGGCCCTTACCATCCTCACCCATATTGTCAAGAGTCCGTTCCAGCAAGAAGGACAAAAAATTCGTGCAATCATCAACATTTGTCGAAAACAGAGGAAGAAAAATTTCTAATCACCCAAATCGGGAGAGAAACAACCATCGAATTGTGTCCGTTCATACGTTCAAACAACGAAATAATTCGGCTGCGAAGGCAAATCTGCAATTGGAGACACCTGCTCGTATAGGACCCGCACAAAAGCATTTCCCACCTGAAAATACTCCCTCTCAACTGGAAAGAACCCCAGCTGTAAGTGTGTCCTCACAAGAGCGCATCCAATCTGAAGATGTCCCTTCCCAAGAGGAGGAGCAGAATGATGAGGATTTCGAAGAACTAACAGAGCAACCAACGAACACATTCTCCAAATTAGAGAACAAAACCTTCCAAGATAATCTTGTTCTAAACCAAATTCCTCTCGAGTACACGTACCTCAATGTGAGTACTACTTATCGCGCTTTAGTTGAAATTTTAAGAGAATAATTTGTAGGGACATGGTTCATATGTTTTCCCGGAGAAGAGACATCCTTTGAAGGAATGCTTTTATAATCCATCGGGTTATGCATGCTGTAATCGCAATTTGAATGA